TATTATAAAAATATAAACTAAACAAAGAAACACCTTCCCTGTTCGTTGTTTAAACAGTCAGTCACGTAAGGTGAAGGTCCAATTAGTATTGACCGCAGCAGGGTTTATTTTTCTTTGCAGAAAAGTAAAGGACAAACAATGCATTTCATTGAGGATGACAAAGATATTTTTACTAATACTGATATATATTTACCTCTATATTGTGTTTATTGTTCTGGATAAAGATTTACTAAGGAAATCGACTATGCTAGGTTATCTAAATGTTAGCTTGCTAACTTGAGATGCTTGTAGCTAATGACAAGCGGGTTGGAGGATTGAAGAATTTATTATTGTTGATTAGTTTGACAGATCAGTTAAAATAAACTTATCATGCTTTGTTCAGCAAAATTGCTACACAGTATTGCTCCCTGCCTCGTTTGTGCTGAAAGTGAACGGCCATGACGAGTCTTCATGCACCCTCTGCTGGATACATTGTGCAATTATGTAATTTGCAAGTGGACATGGATTGTTCCCAGTGTTTATATTGGCACATAATGGAACAATTATCACAGATATCAATAGGTCCTCAAATACCTATATCAGCCAAAAATATCGTCCCTACCAATTTATCGTGGGCTCTACAACCAATACAATTCCTTTGTGTGTAAGCCAGTATATCGTGGTGTGACACATGTTGGTGGTTACCTTTCCAGCAGTGTGTCAGAGTCACATTTTCAAGATTCACAAACTCCTACACATTTTTTTTTTTTATTTAATATAGACAAGGGCACAGTGAGTGATCTACAGGTACATACAAATCAGAAAGTTTAACATCAACTTATTTTATATTTCTAGGTTGTTGTTTTTTTGTGTGTTTTGTTTGTTTGTTTTCTCTTGTGAAACTTGGAAATTAAAAAAAATAGTAGCAAAATCAGTCCATATCTTTGATTGGCTAAATAAAAGTTAACACCGAAACAAAACCAAAGTCCTGCACCTAACTCTGGTCTCCTTATCTGTGTCTTTCTGCCTGTTTGTTTCTCCTGCAGAACCACTCCCACCATCCTTCAGGGACTCTTCTAATGGTATGTATACAATGTTGTCACACATCATATCTCTGTGTGCTCATATGCACTGTGAAAGGATCTATGTCATTTAGAAGTGCAGCAGCATCAACATGTCCTGCTATTCTAAATCCAACTCTTTCTCCCCATCCCCGAGTTTTCTGAGAAAACATTCCATTAGCAGGCTGCTCAGGTGCTCCTCGTTCTGCAGTGGAAGAAATTTACCTCCACATTTGTCTTAATGTGTGCATGTGTGTGAGAGTGTGTGTATTTTTTTTTTTTACAGTGGCCTTGCAAAAATATTTCTTCCTCAATTTTGTTGTCTTTCAACCTGAAATTTGATTGAACTTTTAATTTAACTAAGAACAATAACCAGTGGTGAGCACGGTTCTGCTAATCCTCTACTCAGCTAATAGCGGAAATAACTTCCCGTGGCCGTTTAGCAGATTAGCATTTTTGCTAACTTTGACAACTTTTAGCAGAATTAGCTTCCGTTAAATTAAAATCGTATAAATTTGTCTGTTACTTTTTAACAAGAAAGTTATCCATACTATTAACATACAGAATGATAAAAAAGGTTAAATCATGTCATCTGGACCAGTTTTTTTTAAGTGAGAAATGTTTTTCACTTAAAGAAAGTGGTCCAGATCACATGATTTAACCTTTTTTTATTGCCATCTACCTGGATGATTGAGCCTACAACCCTTTTTCTGAACCACTTTGGCCTTGGTTGTCCTCAGGCTGTTCCTTTGAGTAGCTAGCTGTCCATCTGGCCTAAAACATTTGATTGCTGTTCATGATGATTGATTGTTATGGATGGGTGTGCTCTATTTTCATGAGTTAAAAGCCTACTTTTGAGATTCCAACACAAGGTTGGCTTGAAACACAGCAATGAAGGCTACTTATGGGTTAGATCTCGTTGGCAGGCCACAGACTGATGAAGTCCTCCGGATGGGAGACAAAATGTTTCTCACTTAAAGAAACTGGTCCAGATGACACAATTTAATGCAGAGCTTTTTATTTTATTTTATTAAGCTAAGCACCACCTGGTGATGTCACCACCCTCGCAGTGCTTTGTTCACCCTCATATCTACTCAGTCTCTGACTCATGGTGTCAGTTTACAGCCAATAGCAAATACTTTAATGTAAATGAAGCCAAACCAAACCAGAACAGGAAAATAACATGAAAAACCTCAATGCTCACACTGTCTCTGGGATGGGACTTTCACACATTTCATATATTTTTACTGTAAGACAGATTTATGAGAAAAAAAAAATTAAGAGAATATTCATGATGATGGACAGCAACTTTTTAGTTAGTTTATAAAATTAGTTAACCACAAAGAGGATTGCTAAAGTGAATTAATACATTACAGTAAATGACAGGAGGGAGACGTCTGACACACACTGAATGCATCACTCTGCGTCAGCACAGCAAAGTTCTTCTCCACCTCTTTGGTTCTGATAGACCAGATTAAGTTCTGAAAATTCACCTCTGAACAGAACATACTTCAATTTCAATTCACTTCAGTTTATTTATATAGTGCCAAGTCATAACAGAAATTGTCTCAGGGCTCTGAACAGAAACATTCATATATAAAAATAATAAGTTAACACTATTTTTCTGAGGAGCAGACTGCTTTGAATTTAACACCATCACAGAACTCTCATCTTGAACAAGCACGAAGGCGGCAGCGAAAAGGAATAACTCCCTAATGAGGAAGAAACCTTCAGCAGGACTAGGCTCAGGACAAGTGACCATCTGTTTCAATTGGCTGGGTTTGGTAGGAACAGATACACAATGGCAGGTCAAGAATCATGTTAAGATAGAAATAATGTCAAATGAAAACTATTCAATTTTAACAATTCATTTAATGAAATTAGGTCAGTTTGTCCTCTAGTAGTCTAAGCTTAAAACAGCATACCAAGCCAACCCTAATTATAGGATTTATCAAAAAGGAAAGTCTTAAGTCCAGTCTTAAAACTGGACAATGTGTCAGCCTCACAGACAGAACCTGGAAGTTCATTCCTCAAGAGAGGAGCCTGATAACTGAAAGATCTTCCTCCCGTTCTACTTTTGGAAACTCTAGGGACCGTGAGTAAGCCTGCAGTCTGAGAGCAAAGTGCTCTGCTAGGAAAATATGGGAAAATGAGATCTGCAATATAAGATGGAGCTAAGTTGTTGAGAGCTTTGTAGGTTAGAAGTAAGATTTTGAATTCAATTCTGAATCTGACAGGGAGACAATGAAGGGAAGCTAAAACTGGAGATATGATCTCTCCTACTAACTCCAGTTAAGACAATAGCAGCAGCATTTTGGATCAATTGAAGACTTTTAAAAGAAGTATTTGGAAACCCAGATAATAAACCGTTGCAATAGTCCAGTCTAGACGTGACAAATGCCTGAACCAGTTTTTCTGCATAATTTTTAGATAAGATGTTTCTAATTTTAGCGATATTAGGCAGATGGAAGAAGGTGGTTCTAGTAACAACAAAGTCCATGCTCAATAATCCAGGTATACAATCCAACATTT